CTATCTATCTATCTATCTAGCTATCTATCTATCTATCTATCTATCTATCTATCTATCTATCTATCTATCTATCTATCTATCTATCTATCATCTATCTATCTATCTATCTAATCTATCTAATCTATCTAATCTATCTAAGAAAACTGGTAGCAAATACCAGAATTGTAGGGAGGTCATTTCTAAGGATCCTTTTGAGGTCATTGCCAATCAATGTAACCAATACATTGAAGAAAAAACGGTAAAAGGTTTAAATTAATTTAATTATTTATGTATCATGAGAATGGCACTTTACGGTCATACCGTGGGAAGTTATCTGTAAGCCGCCAGGATCCACCACAAGTTGGGAAGCCATATAAATTTTCTAAATAAATAAATAATATGCTTTGGTAGATCAAACAAATCATGATAATAATAAATAACCCAATCAAGTAGATATAAAACAACACACTCTTATATGTTAGGACACACAGGTACAGTACCTAAAAGCCAGTAAAAGAACTGTTTTTATAAGGTATTAGGTGGCTTTGGCAGAGTTAAACCAGGTCACACTATTATCCTAGGAATGTGAAGAATGTATATTTCTATAGTCTGGAAAAAAAAATAGCGGATGTCCCTAGAAAGCAAATACCAAAGTTACATCTGGTTATACATAGCATCATGAAATTAGGCAGGAGAGGTCTTTCCCTTCTATTCCAGCTTAAAAAATAATAGTTAGAGAACCAAAGGCACCAATAACCGCAGAACAGAAACAACCCCGAAACCCCGCGAAACCAAAGGGAAAAGAGCTTTTTTTTGGTTAGAAAAATAGCCAGGTTTTTCTAAGGCGACGGAAAAGCTGTAAATTCGCGGGCCAGCTCGGCTGCCTCAGCTTGAACTACACACAGAAACGAGAGGAAAACTATTTTTCGAAGAGGGCGAGAAGCCAAAAAGGACCTTTCGGTACTCTCGAGTTCGTACGCACGGGATGAAGAAGGGAGGGCGAAGGGGAAACACGGGAAGGGTTTTCCTTAGGATCTTTTTCTTTGGGGATTTACAAATAAAATTCAGCCAGAAACGAAAAGGGGGAGGACACACAGACACACACACAGAGAGAGAGAAAAACGCCAGGTTTTCTTCCTTAGTTTGAGGGAAAACGCCACGGATCGACCCGGCTAGACTGAACCACCACTTTCCATTATTTATTATTATTTATTATTTTATTATTATTTTTCATTATTTTTATTCGGGTTTTTTAACGTTTTGGGGACCCCCTTGGTGAAGTCCCCCCCCCCGATGTTTTTCCTCAGGCTGCTTCTGCCCTCTTCGCGCGAAAGGAAAGGGACGGCCCTCTTCCCTCAGCAATAAACAAGCCTTTCGCTTCGGGTTCCCCACCCGGGCCCCGCCAACCCACCCGAAACAGGCTTGCCCGCTCGCCGGCAGCGGCACCCACCTTGCCCCGTCTCCGCCTCGCCTCTTCCGGATCTGCTCGCTGGCTTCCCCCGCCGAAGACGAGCCCAGGCCTCAACCACAGCACCGGTGTGGCGTAACGCGAACATCCGACGCCGGCTCTCTCTCTCTCTCCCTCCCCCCCTCTCCTCCTCCTTCTCTCCCGCTTTCCCGGCCGAGCGGCCCGTGTGTTGGGGAAGCGAGTACGAGCCTCCGCCGCCGCCGCCGCCGCCGCCAACGGCGACCAGAGGCGGCGTGCGCCGTAAGGGCTGGCAGGGAGTTATGCCCCGAGGGCGACGCTCCGCGGCCAGTGCGGCATCCCGAAGGGGAAGTGCGGAGGGGGGAGAGAGAGAGAGAGCCGGCGTCGGATGTTCGCGTTACGCCACACCGGTGCTGTGGTTGAGGCCTGGGCTCGTCTTCGGCGGGGGAAGCCAGCGAGCAGATCCGGAAGAGGCGAGGCGGAGACGGGGCAAGGTGGGTGCCGCTGCCGGCGAGCGGCCAAGCCTGTTTCGGGTGGGTTGGCGGGGCCCGGGTGGGGACCCCGAAGCGAAAGGCTTGTTTATTGCTGAGGGAAGAGGGCCGTCCCTTTCCTTTCGCGCGAAGAGGGCAGAAGCAGCCTGAGGAAAAACATCGGGGGGGGGGGCCTTCCCCAGGGGGGCCCCCAAAACGTTAAAAAACCCGAATAAAAATAATGAAAAATAATAATAAAATAATAAATAATAATAAATAATGGAAAGTGGTGGTTCAG